CTCTTGTAAGATAAAAGGTGGTGCAGGCCACACCCTAGGGAAACTCCCTTTACTTTGGATCAGGGATGTGACATTAGTAAGGGTGTTACAATCCCACCCTAATCCTCTTTAACATAAAATTACAATCACAAAATGGAGGACAACCACACAATACTGGGAATTATGGCCCAGCCAAACTGATACACACATTTTTGGGGGGACATAATTCAATCCATGATAGACTCCCTTTCTAATATACTTACAAGAAATGTGTCACTCTTTCAAAAACTAGTGGCAGAGTAGTCAACTCTGACTCATGGCAACCCAGTATGTGTCAGAGTAGAACTGTGCTCAATAGGGTTTTCAATGGCTGATTTTTCAGACATAGATCGCCAGGCCTTTCTTCTGAGGTGCCTCTGGGTGGACTCAAATCTCCTACCAGCTGAGTGCATTAATGGTTCGTGCCACCCAGAGACTCCTCTCTTTTAGATAGCCCTTTTTTTTCTTTTTGTTTTTTTACTCTGCTGTTTGGCATTGCAGCTGAAAAAAAAGTTAAGAACTATAATATTTGATTTTCTAAATAATTCTAGTGATTGGAGACACAGCTGAAATTGGGGAAAATTTTTCAATGGGAAATGTTAGCAATCTTTATTTTTAAAAGTATTCCCTTTTTAAGTATAGAATTGTCTAAAGACAGTTATCTAAATAATTGTCTAAAGAAGATTATCCATAATATTAATTTTGTTTTTCCTTGAGTACACCAATTTATGGAGCCCTTTGATGTTTAGAGAGGAAAAAACAGGGTGTCACCCAGAACCATTTGCTGAACACCCCATATTGTCCATCTGTGGACTTTATAGTTGAACTTTCATCCAAGCTGGTGCGTCTTTGAATGCACAGGACAGTGAGTAATAGGAAAAGTGAACAAAAAGACTCATTTTAAATCTCCATCCCGCTTTCAGCTTAGGGAATTTTTCTATGATGTACTAACTATAGTTGCAGCAATGTTATGTGGTAGGGATGGGTGATCTCTAAATCCACATCGTCCAAACTTTACTGACTGAGAGTTTTCCTTGGTGGGGAAGGTGGGGGCAAAGACCCCCTGTGGACTCTCCCCAGTAAAGCAATTCACTAGAACCAATGAGGAGGATGGAACTGCTTTAGGTTGATACCAACATGATAATACATGATTAAACGTGAAGCCTAAATTATTAAATAATGCAACCACCAGGAATATGGAAGTTGTCACATTATAGACACACAGAGCACAAGATTAGTTGACAAATAGCAGCAACCCCTGGACAACATCTTGAGGAACATTGCTCTAAACTGAGTTAGGACTCACTAATAACAAAACTACAATTATAAAAGTAGCTCATGCAGAAGATGGAAGTTAGGCCTTGGTTGGGGAGAGTAAACCTTAAATGTAGAGCCTTACATATTCCACCATCTCTGGGGGCTCACTTTCCTCATCTGTAAAATGATGGAATTGGATTACATGGTTTCTGAGATTTCTTCTAGCTCAAATATTCTGTGATCCACCCTTGCCCTCAGCTCCGTCAGGATCCTGGTTGTTGGCAGTAAGAAACCTCTTTGCCCCTGCCAGATGGTCTGACCCATGTCCTCTGAACTGGGTTTCGTTTCCAGTCACCCATCATCATCCAGATGGCATGAAGGCTTGATTCACTTGAAACATTGTGCAGAGATACCTATTAAAAGCTATTCACAATGCAGACTAATTGTTGCTGCTGGTTTATTAGTCAAGACTTTGTTTACAGATCACCAAAACCAATTTAAGTACACATATGTACATACACTAAGTAGAATTTATTATGAGGATCAAGATATAACCCAGGTGTCCTCTGATCCCAAGTTCAGGGAGCGGCCTCTGCCTTTACCCCATTTACACAGAACCCAGCATTTCTTCAAAGATTCATTTGCACAAAGAACCAGTGACATGCAGACTCTACTGAAGGTCTGTGGATCACAAGAGGGGCTCCACGATGCAGAGCACTGCACTCCACCACAGAAAGTCTCCATTCATGTCACTGCACCCTCTCCTTCTCCACTGCCCTGCCCATCACAGGGTCTTTTTTACCCTCTTATACCACACAATGCTCACCTTTGCTACCTTCTGCTTCTTCCCTCCCAGTCTCTCCCTAGGACTATCGGTTCCTCTCTATATGTACTTGTACCAAGAGATTTAGCTAAAAGCTTCAGTGATCACATTTTCCCTCAGAGGCTCCCCTCTAACCCAGACAGCTTATGAAAGCAAGCACAATGATCTCCCAGAGAGGAATTCCGGTGAGCACGGATTTCTCCATCTCCATACACAGAAGAATAAAAGATGGGTAGAAACAGAGATAAGCCTCAGGGAAAGCCTGTGATCTCCAGGACTCTCTCCATCTCTCATTTCCACTTCACTCTTGTCTGCTTTTTCTTCTCCTTTCCCCTTCCCTCCCTCTCTTCCCTTCCCTTTCTCCTTCTCCTCCTCTTCCTTTTCTTCCTCCTGCTCCTCTCTTCCTCGTCTCTCTCTCTCATTCTTCCTCCCTCCCATTTTCCTTGACCCTCAGTCCACACGAGCAGCCTACAGCTCTATTAGGGATATTGGTGATTCAGTGGTAGAATTCTCACTTTCCACGCAGGAGACCCTGATTCAACTCCCAGCCAATGCAGCTCATGCACAGTCATCACCCATTTGTCAGTGGAGGCTTGCATATTGCTGAACAGGTTTCACCAGAGCTTCTATACTAAGACAGACTAGGAAGAAAGCCCTGGTCAGCCCAATAAAAATCCTATGAATCACAACGGTCCTATCCACAACCAATCATGAGAATGGCATAAGAGTGGGCAACATTTCATTCAGTTGTTCATGGGATTGCCGTGAATAGGGGCCAACTCTGTGGCAGCTAACAACAACCACACAGCTATATTAGCTCTTGTCCCTAACATGGATAGGCTCAATACCCTGAGGACCCCAGTTCCAAATTCCTGAGAGAGTGGATCTGATTGGCTCAAATGTTCGTCCCTGGTCCAATCAGCTCTGGTCAGAGAGCTGTAGTCATCCCATACAAACATGGCTGCCAAAGTCCTACCTGTATGGGTAAAGTATGGGAAGGGAAATTCCCAGAGAGAGAGGGGCGTCATTATCTTAAGACAGTAGGATTCACAGAGGAGAACGAAACTGTCACCTGACCTATCTCTTAGGCATTAGATAGGACCATACCTACAATTTTTCTTCAACTGTCAATTATCTCTGAGTAAATTCACTGTCAAGTTAATTATTCTTGATTAATTGGGGCCTCCTTATGTTCTCCCAGCTCTCCACCCTCAACCTTCCTAGGTAGGTTACTAACAGTGGGCCGAATTGGATTGAGTGGGGAGTTGTTCAGAGAGGAATGGTACCTGGACATGGATTTGGGTCTCCTTTTCAAAGCCAACTTCAGTGCCTGGTTTACAGTGGGAACTCAAAGGATGGTTACAAATTTCACATGGTTGTCTGGGACTTGGCAGGGTGGGTCTCTGATCCTCTTCTTTAAATGGCTTCAGTGTCCAGTGTCTTTTGATCAGACCCTTAACCTTTTTCTGAGCTTCTGTTTCGTCATCTATAAAGTGAGGTGATGAACAGAACTAACTCACTGTTGGGTTGAGATAATAGACATGAACGTGCTTTGTAAACTGCCCAGTGGTCTTCAGTGACCCACATGGCACTCACCCTGTGCCAGTAAGTGCTTTACAATGTGAACTCATTTAATGTTACAGTAGCCCAGCTAGGTGTTGTCATTGTTGTTAGGTGCCATCGAGTCAGTTCCAACTGATAGCAACCCTATGTACAGCAGAACAAAACACTGCCCAGTCCTGTGCCATTCTCACAATCATTGTTATGCTTGAGCCCATTGTTGCAGCCACCGTGTCAATCCATGTCCTTGAGGGCCTTCCTTTATTTTGCTGACCCTGTACTTTACCAACCATGGTATCCTTCCCCAGGGACTGATCCCTCCTGCTAACATGTCCAAAGTATCTGAGACATAGTCTCACCATCTTTGCTTCTAAGGAGCATTCTGTTGTACTTCTTCCAAGACAGATTTGTTCATTCTTTTGGCAGTCCATGGTATATTCAATATTCTTCACCAACACCACAATTCAAAGGCATCAATTCTTCTTTGGGCTTCCTTACTTATCACCCAGCTTTCACATGTATATGAGGCGACTGAAAACACCATGCAGCAGATTTGCCCAATGCAATGCATCTTTTGATTTCTTGACTGCTGCTTCCAGGGGTGTTGATTGTGGATCCAAGTAAAATGAAATCCTTGACAACTTCAATCTTTTCCCCACTTATCATAATGTTGTTTATTGGTCCAGTTGTGAGGATATTTGTTTTATGTTGAGGTGTAATCCATACTGAAGTCTGTAGTCTTTTATCTTCTTCAGTAAGTGCTTCAAGTCCTCTTCACTTTCAGCAAGCAAGGGTCTGTCGTCTGCATAACGCAGGTTGTTAATAAGTCTTCCTCCAATCCTGATGCCCGTTCTTCTTTATATAGTCTAGCTTCTCAGATTATTTGCTCAGCATATTATCCCAGCAGGTCAGGTCCTCAGTGGCACAAATGGTTTGCACTTAACCTAAAGGTTAGCAGTTGAACCCACCCAACAGCACCATGGAAGGCCTGGTAATCTGCTTCCGTAAAGATTACAGCCAAGAAGACCCTCTGGAGCAGCTCTGCTCTACACATGGGATCACCATGAGTCAGAATCGACTTGATAGCAACAGGTTTTGATTGGTTATTATCCCTATTTTACAGATGAAGAAAAAGGTAAAGTATCTTGTTATATAGCTAAAGAGAGCATCAGGGTTTAAACTCAGGCAGTGCGCTTAGCCTCCCTGACATGCTGCACCAGCCATGACCTTCTTAGAAGAAGCAGCCTTGACCTCTTCAGATCTCAGTTCCCTGAGCAGTCTTGGAAAGTTTTTGTAGCCCCACCCACTAAGCTGTTCTTTCTCTTGCTTCTGCTCCTTTCAGATCGATGACACCGGCACATTTCAAGTAATAACGGTTCCATCGGGGGCTGACTACACGCCAGCACTGGAAAGTCTCCAGCGGTGCACTTTCTGCTATGGTAAGACCCATCAACTGGTCAGGCCTATTAGCGCGTTGAGTCACAGTTGGCAGGAGTAGCTGGAACATGGCAATGGGGATGATGGCCCCATAAGGACTTCCTCGGGGCTCTGGGCTCACCCATCACACTGTGTCTTCCACAGATGGAACATCTTAGCTCAGCGAGCAGGGTCTCCTCCTATACATATCGCAGCAGGAGGGTTGCTTTCCAGGCTTCCCTACTGAGTGCAGCTTCGAGGAAATGGTAACGATTTTCAGAAAAGCTTAGCCTGACTCAATGCCAAGTTTTTCATGCTGTAAAGTACTGGATTTTCGCAAATAATGCGCCCATACATATACCGTATTTTTACGCAAATAGTGCATGCCTTGTATGTTAGTTTGCCAACCTCGCCCTCCCCCCATGAAGTATTTTCATAAGCTCTGCTACACCAATTTTTTTTACATGTTGCTGTAAAAAAATTGGCATAGTGCACTTACAAAAATACCTCTTTGAGAGGAGGGCATGGCTGGCAAACAAACATAGAAGGCGCATGTTATTTACATTAAAATACAATGTGTGAGGGGGTTGCAAGGTTGACAAAACATATAATATGCACATTATTTGCATAAAAATACTGTATATTTATGTGTTTTCCAAACCTCAGATATTCACAACCTCCAAGAAATGCTTTAGAGAAATTCAGCACCTTCCTATCTGCATGGGAGTATTTTTTTTAGTACAGTAGAAGTGAAAACTAGCAGATATTCATGTATTTCTCATTGCAAAGAAGCTTCATAGACTGCCAAATGTTAGGCATCAAAAACGTGTGCAGAGTTGGCTTGTCTGTTGTTGTGTTTTAAACAGCTCTGTAGGCCTAGCTAGAAAACTGGACTGTAATCTTCTATTTGAGTGTTCTAATAAGTATGAAGGGAGCCCTGATGGCACAGTGGTTAAAGCAATCGACTGCTAACCAATAGGTCCGCGGTTCGAAACCACCGGTGGCTCTACAGAAGAAACATATAGCAGTCTGCTTCTGTAGAGATTTACAACCTTGAAAACCCTCTGGGGTCGCTATGAGTCGGAATTGACTCGATGGCGTGGGTTTTAATAATTATGAGGGGCTCCTGGGTGGTGCAAACAGTTGATGTGTCTGGCAGCTAACTGAAAGGTTGGAGGTTTGAGTTCACCCAGAGGCGTCTCAGAAGAAAGGTCCAGCTATCTACTTTCAAAAAATCAACCGCTGAAAACCCTCTGGATCACAATTCTACTCTGACACACATTGGGTTGCCATGAGTCAGAACAGACTTGGCGGCAGCTGGTACGGGTATAATTATGAAGAGAGTGGAAGCCACTGAGATTACTGGTGGGTGTAGTGGCTAACAATTATCTAGTACTTACTGTAGGCCACGTACTGTTCTACTTGCTTTATATAATATCAATGGTGATGACAGTTAATACCTAAACTACTGTGCTTATTATGGTCCAAGTGCTGTTCTAATTAAATATTTCTTTCAATCCTTATAACCATCCTAAAATATTTGAACTATTATTAGCTCCATCTTACAGATAAAGAAAATGAGGCTTAAGGAGATGAAGTAATTTACTCAGAGCCATACAGCCAGGTGAAACCCAAGAAGGCAGGCTCTAAACTGCCTGCCCTTTATGAGTTAATGGAGGTCCCATTTTTGTGCTCCCTGAAACTCCCCATTTGGTCTAAAAGAAAAAGCTTAATTCCTCTCCTTCCCCATGCGTATTAGCAAGATGCTAATTCTTGCCATACAAGTGACCTCACAGGGAGGTGGCAACTCTGAGGGAGTAGTAGGATCTCCAGTCTTCTAATAACCCCCTCCTCTGTCTCTAATTAATCAACTCCCCTCCATCCCCCTGGCTCATTGCACAGGGTGGGTTTCGGCACTGGCATTCTTCACAGCAGTTAAAGTACTAACCATGCTGGGGGGAGACACTGTTCTCAGTTGTGCTCTCACACATGTCAATTACAATAGCGTGCTGGCATGTTGCACAGTCAGAAGTTGCACATGTGTGACTGGGGATGGATTTTGGCTCCATTTCTTGGCTCAAACGCTTGTTTAGTCTCTGAGGCATATAATGGACGATATTTTGGCTGTCATTCCCTGCAATTAAAAAACCCACAAAACTGAACAAATGGGCAGCCTGCTGTCTCTGATTTTAGAAACTGCCATGCACACGGGTGGCTGTTCTGTCATCTGACCATTATACATGGTCATGAAATTTTACTGACTGTCAGTAAGGAAGCATAACCCGTCCAGAGCCATATCTTAGTGAGTCTGTGAGCAAGACTGAAGTTAGGAAGTCTGCTACATTCCCTAGGATCTGCATTCTGATCATTACTCTTTTATCCAATAGCTTTTATTGGTGGTCCATGGCCATATCTAAGTACCAGCTGTGAACACACATATTATTCTATTTCTCTTTCTTCTCTTTAGTTTTTAAAGAGGGCATTGTCATCCTCAACCATCAACTATTATTGAAAACCTAACATTACAGAATGTCAGCGCTGGAAGGGGGCCCTCAGGTGACTTCAGTCCAACCACCTAACTGTGCAGAGAAATTGTACAGAACTGAGGCCGAGGTTGGATAAGTGGCTTGACTAGGGACACACAGTGTGTCTGTTACTGAGACAAGGCCAGAACCCAAGCATCCTGGCTGCCAGGCCAAGGGGCCTCCCCACTGCTGCACCACATGGCCTTGCCTCTAATGATAGAACATGACTTCATACTAGTGTGTCCTTTGGCAGAATGCTTTTCCGCTCCTGATGTCAGTCTTTTCTGTAAAACAAGAAGGTTGGATTAGGTGACCTCCTGTGAATATTCATTATGGTCAGATTTAATAAAATCTGCTCTGTTTTTATTGCTACACATTCCTTTGTTAAATGAGATATGCATATTTATAAGAATGACCTCATATTTTCTGAAAGTCAATTAATAGGTGATATTTATATTCATTTATTTAGCATACATGTATTGAGCTTTCAACTAATAAGCATTCTGGAGATACAAAGATGAGTGGTAGCTTTGTCATTAACGAGCATACATAGACATTGAGTTATAAATGCACCTTTAAATTGAAATAAAAGATGTGTTGCTTTTTTTCACCCTGACTTTTTACAACAGTTTACCTTTTCATAGTAGAACAATGTGAGCATAGAGATAAGGTCCATTGGTTTAACCCATATATAGTCAATCTGGAGAAATTATTAGCTTTTATGTTGTAATACAGTATATTTTTGTGTGCATGACATACACTGTCCATTTAAATCTTTATAAACGTAAAATTCAGCCAAGATGAAATTTATGTTGAAAATAGCCTAATTTTTACCATGGGTATAATACTCAGGCTGGATACAAAGTCTGAGCTTTTTGAATATAGGTGCAAACTGGGTACTAGGAAGTCTTCTTGATATTAAAGTCTTTTAGTAACTATTTTAACATCAAAGGCTATGCAGTTTTCAAATGCCAAAATATTTGAGATGCTATCTTTCCTTTTCTGTCCATTTCTACTTAGTAACCCCAAGTAACTTTTGGTTTGCAGATGTATGCAAGCCGGATCCTTCTTGCAGTCAAGCCAGACCACCCCCTGTGCAGTCTTACATGGATGCTGCTTTTCTTCTGGACAGCTCTCGGAATGTGGGTGCTGCCGAATTTGAAGACATAAGAGCCTTCATGGGAGCACTGTTAGATCACTTTGAAATCACTCCCGAGCCCATGACCTCCATCACTGGAGACCGAGTAGCCCTGTTGAGCCATGCTCCCCCTGACTTCCTACCCAACACTCAGAAGAGCCCCGTTAGAACTGAGTTCAACCTTACCACCTACAACAGTAAACGCCTCATGAAGAGGCACCTGAAAGAATCAGTTCAACAACTAAATGGAGACACTTTCATTGGTCATGCCTTACAGTGGACTCTAGACAATGTCTTTTTAAGCATACCTAACCTGAGAAGAAACAAAGTCATCTTTGTGATATCTGTTGGGGAAACCAGTAACTTGGACAAAGAAACCTTAAAGAAGGAATCCTTGCGAGCCAAATGCCAGGGTTATGCCCTATTTGTGTTTTCCCTTGGCCCTACTTGGAATGACAAGGAACTGGAAGATCTAGCCAGCCACCCTTTGGATCACCACCTGGTCCAGCTTGGCCGAATTCATAAACCTGACCACAGATATGCTGTGAAGTTTGTGAAGTCATTTATAAACTCAATCAGGCGTAAGTCTTAAAGTCTGTACTTTTCTGCGTGTTAAGAGTATACTTGGTATTCCCAAAAGAAGGGTTGATGAGCTGACCTGGATTCTTGGAAACTTTTGTCTGTTTTCAAGGGTACTGCAGGGTCAAAAAGGCAAATATGTAATGATGGGCAGTTGAGGTGGAGAGAGGCTGTGGTTCCTAAGCATTTAATTTCCTGGCTCAGCTTTGTTATGCCTCTGGTTCCTGTGGAGAAACAATCATAACCAGCAGCTGTTCACACATCTGTCTGCATGCAGCAGTGCAGTCTGGGTCTGTGAGGTCACAGCCTGGGCTGGAGCTACAAAGTACAAACCCCTACCATGTAACATTAGCATGCTGCCCTTCAATGGAAAGTTTCGTCAGTTAACACACCAAAAGAGAGAGTCAAAGAAAAATTAAAATGAACAATCCTTGGCTTGGCTTTTACAAGTTCTGAAGGCAGTTTGAAGTATTAGCAGTTACAATTTTACTTGTCAGAATGAAAGATAAAGCCTTGTAAAACTTTCTTAGTCTCTTTAATGACTTTTTATGATGCCAGTAATTAGTGTAACCTGTGCCCTTATAAAAGAAACATGGGCTGGTTCTCAATCCATTTCTTGGATTGAGCTTGCCTTGGAAGTACGCAATCCACTTTGAATGCAACAGGGTGCATAAAAAGAAGGCCTGTCCTGCTATGACTCTAAAGGTTGAAGAGCAGTTGGTAGGATTTCTGAAAGGAGCCCGGCTGGTGCAAACAGTTAAGCGCATGGCTACTAACTGAAAGGTTGGAGGTTCTAACCCACCCAGCTGTTCTCAGGGAGAAAATTCTAGCGATCTGCTTCTATAATAATTACAGCCTAGGAAACTCTGTGGTGCAGTTCTACTCTGTCATGTGGGGTCAGTGGTGAGTTGGAAATAACTCAACGAAACCTAACAACAATAACAAGATTTCTGTACATTTTCATGGTGAATGAACCCTTGACGTTCTGATAAAGAAATGTGGACACACAGGGCACAGGGCACCCAGAACAGTGCAGCTAAGATCCTGATTGTGTCACGAACTGTCACTGACATTACAGGGTGAGACCAATCAAGAATGCAGACACAGATTATTCAGTTTGCAGGGTGAGGTCTGAGGAGCCCTGGGAAATTGCTGATGGGGCTGACGTTGTACTTTCTAGTCCTCTGCTTCTCAAAATCTGAGTGTAGGGCCAGCAGTATCAGCCTCATCTGGGAGCAGAATGCAGAATTTCAGGCCCCACCTCAGACATTCTGAACCAGAATCTGCTTTTTAACCAGATCCCCTGGTGATTCATATGCACATTAAGGTTTGAGGAATGCTGATATAGGAGCAGTATGCTTCGAGAATGAAATTTAGGTGGATGTATTCTGGAATAAGGGGCCCTAGTGGCAAAGTGGTTAAAGCGTTCAGTTGCTAACCAAAAGGTCAGCAGTTCGAACCCACCAGCTGCTGCTAGAGAGAAAGTTGTGGCAGTCTGCTTCTGTAAAGATCACAGCCTTGGAAACCCTAGGGGGCAGTTCTACTCCGTCCTATAGGGTCGCTATGAGTCGGAATCAACTCGATGGCCATGGGTTTGGTTTTGGCTGATTCTGGAATAGGAACCAGAACGAGGAGTTATAAAAAAAAAAAAAAGGAGGAAAAAATGGGGGCTGGGGACATTCTGAAGGAAGTGATGAGAAGGCATTTGCAAGGGTAAAACAAAAGAACACCTTGAAAGACTCTGAGAAACTTGTAAAGAAACACTCCTTATGTGGCAAGAAATTGGAAGGAACTTTAAGGTTAAATTTCCTTCACTGGTCATCCCACATTCTTAATGATGTTTCATGGTAATTAGTTCAACTAGAAGAAGAGACTTTGTAAAAGTACATGGGGTAAGTGAGAGATATAGAAAAGTGTTTGAAAACTATAACCATGATGCAGTTATACACCGCTTTTCTAGAACTTATGTATCAGGAAATCCCCAATCTTGAAAACATAGCCGTGAAAGTACAAGAAATCAAAAAAGGCTTTGGCATAGTCATATTAAAGCCTACACACTTGATTCCACAACAGGCGCACAGACTCACCCTCACACATTCAACATTAACACATATTTATGAGGCACATACTCTGAGCCACTAACTGTTCCAGGTACTGGGTGTTGGCGAGTGACCATAACAGACATGGTCACTGCCCTCCTGGGAATTATAATCTGACTTCCCGTCTAAGTCGTTATGACTCTTAATTAATACACTGCTGCAATAGAGTTTATCAAGCACAGTCCACATCAGAATCAACACATTTCCTACAAGAAACAAAACGGCTGACAAACAGCCTGAGGTCAAGAGAGATAAAAATTAAAAATCAGGTGTACAAAAAGGGAAGCATCACAGTTTTAGGCCGTTCAGTCTAAAAGCACACAGCTCCACCTACCACAGCGGCTCTGGTGACGGTGCTGTATCTCAACCCAGAGCAGACTTGCTGCTTATGATGACTCTGCGTCACCAGGAAGAGATTCAAGTGTGTTTAACAACTCTGATCGATTTAATGCTTCAAAGAAATATATAATACATTTAAGATTTCCTATCAAAAATGGATTTTAAAATTGTAAATGGTATAGGAAGAGGCATGTGACATTATTTTGAAAAATTTATGTGGACCATTTTAATGTCTTTATATTTCCAAATGAAATGAGCCATTAAAGAATTAAACTCAAGGTGGCTCTGTTGTTAATGCTGTTGTTAGTAATACAAAGACCATAAAGGGAATATCCTTTTCCCATTGCATTTTGATATTGCAAAGGAGCAAATAAAAAATAACTATTCTGATTAGCTCACGGTAATTAGAGGTTGGAGCCTTAGAACTGACTCAGATCTCCTCTAATGTTGGACTGACTTTAGCAGCTAAGGGCATCTTATTGAAAAGTTAGTTGAATTCTCTACCTATAAATTCAGCAGAGCTGTATTTTCTAATCTCAGATGTAGAGATTCCCCAGGGAAATCCGCCTTTATCTCATATGGCTACCAAAGTTGGCATCTTTCCCTGATGGATATTGAGAACAGCGAAGTGATACTTTGCATACAGAGCAGAATGTTAACATCTGTGAATAAGAGACTCATCACAGACTTCTTTCTTTCTAGGTGCAATCAATAAATATCCACCAATAAACTTCAGAACAAAATGCAGTAGGCTCAGATCTACAGATCCAAAGCAGCCTCTACAACAGTTCCGAAGGTATTATCTGCTTGGTATTATTTGATAAATGAATGTGCCTTTATTTCCTTCTCCCCCTTCTTTCTTTTCTTCATCTTCCTTCTCCTCCTCCTCTATCCTATTCAGGCAAATTCTCTTGCTACATGATATTAATTTAAAATATGAGGGAACAAAAGATAATCAAAATGAACAGATTGATCTGAAAATCAACCAAATAGAACTTTTTAAAATTGAAGATCTAATTGTTGAAATAAAACACCCAATGGGACAGCCCAGTGACAATGAGCATACCTAATGACCAGATCTTGGTTTCTAAATACCATGCCCTACCAAAAGGAACCAGGACTTCCTGGAGAAATATGCAGTTCTAGGCTACATCAGGGAAAGCACAATGTGAGCCTGGAACAACTTGCTCCAGAAAAAAAGGAGTCAAAAATTAAGTGTCATGTCAAGGGGACAAAGGAGCTATCTTGAAAGACCACCCACTGGCTTAATTTTGGACAATTTGAACATCAGGAAGACTAATGATAGTAATGGATTGAATAACACGTTGAATTTTTAAATCCACAAGTCTATAGAGATACCCAAAAAAGGGGAAGGGGAGAAAAAGTTCTTCTTCATAGAATAATGATAGCTAATAAATGTACAATCAGAAAATCACCAATTTTTAATCCCCAATGTAATAACTGAGTCAAGCAAGGATCATTAAAAGAATGCTAAAACCATTGGGCGAAGGATTGTTTGGGAACAGGTCGTTTATACAGCCTCAAAAACCCATTCATGTATTACTTATTAACCACAAAGAGGAAAATGTGCCTTTACATGGTGTGGTCTGGCAGTAACCACTTTGACCCAGCTCTGGTTTTATGTGCCCTCTGATGTGATGCAGTGGGAGAACATCACCTATGTGAGGTTCGCGCTGGAAATGTTTGACCTGAGTCTACTAATGAGGACTCAGTTAGACAATTCCAGAATGTGGACTGTTCTTCAGAACAACTAGCCTATACTTTTTATGGCTGTCAATTTCATGAAGAACAGAGAGATGTGGGGTTCTATTGTAGAATGGGAAAGACTAGAGACTTACATTCCTAATGTAATGATGTGAAGCTTGATTTGATTTTAAAACAGAAGAAAAGAGCTGATAAAATGGCGTCTGGGGGACAATTGGGGAAATTTGAGTGTGAACAATAAGTTGGAGGATATTGAATTTATGTTGATTTTCTTGTGTGTAGTAATAGTATCATGGTTGTATAAGAGAACATCCTTGTTCTTGAGAGAGGCATGATGAAGTTTTAAAAATAACATATATGATGGCTGCAGCCTACTTTCAATTGGTTTTCCTAAAGGGAAGTAGGACAGTATGTGTGTGTGTGTGTTTGTGTGTGTGTGCACATATATAAGTACATATATCTATATATGTGTGTATATAGAAGTGTGTATATATATGTGTATGTAGATAGAGAGTAGGAAGATGGTAACGGTTGAGAATCTAGGTGAAGGATTTACAGATATTCATGATTCTTCTGCTCTTTCCAATTTTCTGTGAATTTAACAATTTTCAGATTGAAAATTAACTTGGTAAAACTTACTGGATGGGTTAAACAGAATAATAGACACATCTGAGACGAACATAGTGAACTGGAAAATAAAGCTGAGGAAATTACTCAGAATGCATAAATGATAAATATAAGAGGTTCAGAGACAGAACAGAACAAAAATGTCTGACCTATATCTAATCAGATTCTAGAAAGATAAAATAGAAATAATGAATGAGAGGAAATATTCAAAGAGATAAAGGGATGATAATTTTCCAGAACTTATAAAAGACATGAGTTCACAGGTGAAGAAAGCACAAGATATAACAGGCAGGATAAATAAAAGAAAGCAACAGTTAGACATAGTGTAGAGAAATGCAGAACACCAAGACAAAGAGGGCAGCCAAAAGGAAAAAGCAGATCATCTACAAAGAAACTATAACTAGACTGGCAGCTGAATTACTAATAGCAGCAGTGGGAACCACAAAGCTAGTGAGTACCTTCAAAGTTGACCTTTCTGTCAACTTAAAATTGTGTGCTCAGAAAAAACTGCCTTTCAAAAATAATGGTAAAACAAAGACTAATCAGGTAAGCAAAAAATAATAGTTCAGCATAAAAACATCTTTACTAAAAAAAAAAAGTCTACAGTATATACTTTAAGGAAAATAAGAAGACCACAGAAGGAAGCTGAGGTGCACTAAGCAATGATGACTGATAAAATTTGTAAATATTTAGGCAAATCTAAACAAATGTTGTCTTTTTAAATAATAGTAACATCTAATTTGTGCAATTACAAAAAAGCTGTACTTGTTAACAAAGCTATGGAAAGAAAACATTTGTTACCTGGTAGTTTTAACAGAAGAAAACTGTTGTACCAAGAGTATAAATGTTGATAAATATTTGATTGATTAATTAGTTAAATGTGAGAAAAGACATTGAACAACCCCCACCCCCAAACAGAGAAAAGTCCAGGATCAGATGACTTCACTGGTAAAGTCTACCAAACATTTAAAGAGAATTAACACCATTCCTTCTCAAACTCTTCCAAAAAACAGGAGAACACTTCCTAAGTCATTCTATGAGGCCAGCATTACCTGATACCAAAGCCAGATAAAGACACCACAAGAAAAGAAAATTACAGACCAATATCCCTTATGAATATAGATGCAAAAATCCTCAACAAAATACTAGAAAACTGTACCCAACCGCATATTAAAAGGATTATACACCATGACCAAGTGTGATTTATCCCAGGAATGCAAGAGTGGTTCAACATAAGAAAATCAATCAAAGTAATACACCACATTGATAGACTGTAGGGGGAAAAAACACACGGTTATCTCATTTGACACAGAAAAGACATTTGACAAAATCCAGAACCATTTCATGATAAAAACACTCAGCAAAGTAGGAATAGAAGGAAAATTCTTCAGTATGATAAAGGATATTTACAAAAAAACCCACAGCTACTGCTTCTGAAAGGTCATAGCCTAGAAAACCATATGGAACACAGTTCTAGTCTGAAACACAAGGGTCACCATGAGCCAGAATCAACTCTATGGCACTGGGTTTGGTTTTTTGTTTTGGAACATCATACTCAATGGAGAAAGACTGAAAGCTTTTCCCCTAAGATCAAGAACAAGACAAGGATGCCTGCTTTCACTACTGCTATTCAGCATTGTGCTGGAAGTTCTAGACAGAGCAACTAGGCAAGAAAAAGAAATAAAAGGCATCCAAATTAGAAAAGAAGAAATAAAACTATCTCTATTCCCAGATGACATGATCCTATACCTACAGAAAATCCCAAAGAATCCACAAGAAAGCTACTAGAGTTAATAATTGAACTTAGCAAAGTTGAACAGTACAAGATGAACACACAAAAATCAGTTGTGTTTCTATACACAAGCAATGAATAATCTGAAAAGGAAACTAAGAAAGCAATTCCATTTATAATAGCATCTACATGAATAAAAGACCTAGGAATAAATTTAAGCAGGGAGGAGAAAGACTTGTTCACTGAAAACTATAAAACATTACTGAAAGAAATTAAAGAAGACTTAAATGGAAAGACATTCCATGTTCATGTACTGGAAGATTTAAATATTGTTCACAGATTCAACACAATCCCTATCAAAATTGTAACACCCTTTTTTGCAGAAATGGAAAAACTGGTCCTCAAATTCATACAGAATTGCAAGGGGCCCTGAATAGCCAAAGCAATCTTGAAAAAGAAGAACAAAGTAGGCATACTCATACTTTCCAATTTCAAAACACTACAGAGCTACAGTAATCAAAACAATGTGGTACTGGTATAAGGATAGATGTATAGACCAACGGAATAGGATTGACAAACCGGAAATAAAACCAATTGATTTTCGACAAAGGTGCCTTGTTCATTTAATGGAAAAAGAATAGTTTCTTCAGCAAATGATGCTGAGATAACTAGATTTCCACATGCAGAAGAATAAATTTGGACTCATACCTCATATCATATATGAAAATTAACTCAAAATGTATCAATGACCTAGATATAAGAGCTAAAACCATAAAACTATTAGAAGACAATACAGCGATAAATCTTCAGGACCTTGTATTTGGCAATGGATTCCTATACCACACAAAAAGTGTGAGCAACAGAAGAAAAAATAGATATACTGGACTTCATCACAATTAAAAATTAAAAACTTTTGTTTATCAAAGGACATTATCAAGAAAGTGAAAAGACAACCTATGGAATGGGAGAAAATATTTGAAAATTTTATATCTAATAAGGGCTTAACATCCAGAATATATGAAGAACTCCTACAATTCAACAACAACAACAAAAATCAACCCAATTAAAAACGGGCAAAAAACTCAAACAGGCATTTCTCCAAAGAAGATATACATATGGCCAATAAGCACATTAAAAGATGCTCAACAGAGACCATGGTCTCAGGGGACATCTAGCTCAATTAGCATAACATAGTTTATAAAGAAAATGTTTTACATCCTACTTTGGTGAGTAGCATGTGGGGTCTTAAAAGCTTGTGAGTGGCCATCTAAGATACTCCGCTGGTCCCACTCCATCTGGAGCAAGGGAGAATGAAGAAAACCAAAGACACAAGGGAAAGATAAGTCCAAAGGACTAATGGACAACAACTACCACGACCTACACCAGACTAAGTCCAGCACAATTAGATGATGGCCAGCTACCACCACCTACTGCTCCGACAGGGATCAAAATAGAGGGTTCTGGACAGAACTGGAGAAAAATGTAGAACAAAATTCAAACTCATAAAAAAAGACCGGACTTTCTGGTCTACCAGAGACTGAAGAAACCCAAGAGCATGGGCCCTGGACGCCCTTTTAACTCAGTATTGAAGTCACTCCTGAGGTTCACCCCTCAGCCAAAGATTATACAGGCCCATAAAATGAACAATAATACACGTAGCTCAATCATGTATAGGAGACTAAATGGGCACACTAGCACAGGGGCAAGGATAA